AGTTACACTGCATGTAACTATTTCTTCAGGAAATCCCTGTGATCAGCTGTTCCATGGAGCAGGCAATGCACCACAAACCATCTCCACTGCTCAGCTGGCATCCAGCAGGCTCAGCAAGAACCACCCGGTGCAAGCCCCTGCCAGAAAGTAAAGTTCTGACATAATCCTCTAAAAATTCATCATTATTAACACAAGATGAACCCAGCTACAACCACCCCAAAAATCAAACAGGAAAAAACAGCTATTAAACTCCAGCAATCAGTGTAATAGCTGTTATGCCCTGGGTACCCAGTGCTGGGCTTATAAACTGATATATATATATAGCTTTATATACAGTTAGAACTGTATAAACCCCAGTGCTGGCTCCTGACACTGCAGGTGATGTGAATGTACCAAACAAGATTTTAATATTTCACCCCAGTGTTTTGGAGATGAACTGAAGCCTGGTGACCTCAGCACTCTCACCAGTGTAGCCCTTGGGGACACAAATGCTGGACCCACCACTGCCATGTCAAACAACCCCACAGCATCCTCCTTCACACCCTGCAACCAACCCCCCAGCAAAGCCACTGTGCCAAAACCTGTAATTTAATTTTTAAACTCAGCTGAAATGAACCTGGATGCTGCACAGTGAGCAAAAAGCCCCCCTTTTCCTTCTGGAGTACAATAAAAGTGTGGAAGAAAGGCTGGAATTCAACAGCACACTGGTAACAGGCACAGAAACCTGTGACAAAGCCTGGGAGAGGAGGAACATTGCAGGAGCTCTTGCTTTCCTACACTGGAAATTAATCTGTTGTGCGCGTCCACGCTCATCCATTTTCAGAACACTAAAAATAAAGATTTTCTGACAACTCACACACACGTGTGCAAAGATGCTCTGAGAAAATGCCTTCTCCTAAGGCTTTGGCAACAACAGGGAGAGGCTCCATTTTGCCTCCCTGGACAAGCAGGAGGAACTGGGGGCACTTTTCCCCACCACAGGAAGACCTTTCCCACCCAGGGAAAGCAAGTTCTGGCACGTTAATTCTGTGTTAGCACTGCACAGCACACTGGACTCTCCCCACACTTGGCTTAATTAAAAGAGGACTAATTTAGCCTTTGGTTGTTCTAGAAGGTGCAAGGGCAGAGCCTCCTTCTCTGCAAAAATGGAGTGAATAACTTCCAATTTTCTAGGACTGCTGTTAACACTCAGAGACATGACTATCCAGTGGGAAACCTGCAGCCAAGTTCTGCCTTGACTCAAAATTATTTTCTGCTTTCATCTAGTACACATTTTATTCACCATTCATGTTTAATAAATTGCCATAATATGAGCCAGCCATTACGTGGACAGCAGCTGGACAGCCTGCTTTAGAAATTGCCTCTGCATAGGGTAACATTCCTTAAAAATTAGAACTCAGTAAAAAGGACATAACTCTCAGAAATGAACTGTGCAAAAATAGAATTATTGAAATTGTAACTTTCCAAATGTGAGTCTGTGGTGGTACCAAGTCCACAAAGAACTCCAAGCCCCCTTTCTGCTTTTCACCTTCCCAAAGCAGCAGCATGAAATGGGTAATAAAATCATTTGCTTGAATAAAACTGCCCAGAGCAGTGTGAACACAGGAGCAGGTAAAACTCATGTCACGCTCATGTTGCTGCTCCTCTGTTGCTGACACCTGACCAACAGAAGATATCCATGAACCACTGCTCCCATGACCACATCAACAATCCCATTTCTCATCAACCTTTCCTATGGACCTGTTAGTTTGGCACCTTGATGGCAAAAGGTTTCAAAAACCAGGTTGGAAAATCACTCTGCTTTCAGACCCAGCACTGACACCAGCTGAGAAAGCTGCAGCCTCCTCTTCCAAGCAGTTTTTCTAGGTCCAAAGGAGAACTCCTTTTCTCCAATTACATTCTGCAAATTCCAGGGAAGTCAGCTTTTGGAAGCCCTTGGAAGGAGATATCCAAGCTCAGAAAAATTATCCAAGATCTGTCTTGCAATCAATGTTTGCAGCCAGACTGAGTCACAGCAGTCCTTCTTGATTTTAAAATTTGGGAGTTTTTTTTTCCCTCTCAAGACCTTTAAGGGACAATAAGATCTAAGATGGCATCAATCTCATCCAGGGAGTTTCTAAAACAGATACCTTAATGTAAGCAATTCCATAATGGAGGAACAGTGGAGGTGACAGGTCTGGTAACCCAGAAATAAATCCCTGCCTCTTCAGAAATGTGACATGAAATTAATCACACCACCACAATGTCACCCATTTCCTTCTCCTGCCTCCCTTTCCCTTATTCCTCAGAGGACACGAGGAAAGACAAAAAGAGAAAATTAGTTCTGCAAGGAGAAAATGGAGAAGAATTGAAGTGGAAGCTGTGAGGACACCCACCATTTAATAAAACTGGGAAAAGTTGGGGCCCTGTCCCTTTTATAGTTTCTTTCCCTGTAACTCCACAAATCTATAACCACCTTTCAGCATCCTGTATTCCACTTCCAACCCATTCCACACCGATGCACCCAACCTGCCTCAAATATCAATCACTCAAGTCTTTCTGTGTCTCACCCTCAGGAAATGGTGTTTTACCAAGTGTTTCCCCAGCAATCCCCACTCCCAGCTCTGCATCTGCATTCTCACATCCCACCAGCTTTTTTTCAAGCAAACAATTAACTGTCCCTGCACAAACCCTATGTCATAAAACATTCCATGATCCAATTTCCTCCACATTTGCTAGAACTCACCGCCAGTTTTACTATCCCTCTTGCAAAGAGCCATGTTCCCAACATCCAGCAAGCCTCATTTTCCTTCAACCCATGAACCCATGATGTTCCCTTCCTCCACCCTGTTTCAGCTCCTCAAGGGCAGCAGGTGAGTGGCCAAACTCCCTGGTCTGAGTGCAGGACATGCACACCCAACTCTACCACCAGCCACGAGGGAACGAGAGGACAGCAGGTTTCACTAACAACAGAAATTATATTACCAGGTACTGCCATAAATCACCAGAGAAAGGTGAAATAAAGGAAATTTCTCCCCATAGCCAAGATGAAAGGGAAGGATCACTGCCTAACACCAAAGATCTATGTTCTTCATGCTCAGGGAAAGGTCTGGACCTTTACAAAAAGCCCATCCCTGCCTGGAGGCACCCAAGGAACTGGGATTCCAGCTGCAAGGCATGGGTGGGTCTCCTGAGGGCAGAGTGCTGCCTGCCCTGTCCATGGGACTGGACATTCCCATTCCAGTTTTCACTTTCCAGTGCCTCCACAGAGGATGGACCACTCTTGGTATGTTTTACCCAAGCATGGCCCTGTGCTGTAGGAATCAGAACATTCAGAAACCAATCCTAGTTTTTAGGACTAACCAAGGAACTGATCAAGCTTTACACTTTACCCCAAATCCTACCTTGCGTCTTCCCAAGCTGAGCCTCCCCTCTCCCAGCAGAACCTTCACCCTTTTCTACATCACAACAGCAGGAATGACACAGGGATGAGCAACTCCTCTGCCCCTGCTGATGCTGCACCTGGAATCCACACCAGGACTCACACCCAACACCCTGGTCTGTTGGCAGGACCAAGGAGCACCAAACTGAGCAATTCTGTTTCTGAAAAGAAAGTGCTTTCCAAGAACCAATAAATCACTCCCTGCCCCAAGCAGAACTGCTGGGTCTCCACTTGATTCCTGCTGTGCCCAGGCACCTCTGAGTCCTTCTGGGGGCTCTTCCCAAGCCATCTGCGGAGCACATGGAGCTTCCCTGAGGAACCAGGTGGGCAGATGTGGAGCACAGGGCACAGCCCCCTCCAGACACATCAGCCTGGCACTGAGGGAGCAGCTCCCCAAGGCCCCAGCCCAGGGTCAGGTTTGAGCAGCACAAACCCCAAATCATCACAGACCCCTCTCAGGGGTATCAGGGTTGGAAGGGACCCACCAGAATTGAGTCCAACTCTTGGCCCTGCACAGGACATCCCAACAATCCCACCCTGTCCCTGAGAGCTTTGTCCAAATGCTCCTTGAGCTCTGGCAGCCTTGGTGCTGTGCTCACTGCCCTGGGGAGCCTGTTCAGTGCCCAACCACCCTCTGGGGGAAGAACCTTTCCCTGATATCCACCCTAACCCTCCCCTTACACAGCTCCAGCCGTCCCCTGGGTCCTGCCACTGGTCACAGAGAGCAGAGATCAGTGCCTGCCTCTCCTCTTCCCCTGAGTGCTCATAATCCAAACTTTATTGGTTTCACCCAAAGCCCTGACTAAGAAAGAATAAAGTGATCTGACATACACGGGGTTCCATAATCTTATCTGACCTCACTTACGAAGCGCATTTTACCAACAGCCACACACAGCTCGCTGCCCCCAAGGCACAATGAACCAAATTACAGCTGGGACCAGACTGACCACCGCCGCTTCCAGAGAGACACCGGCGTGGGAAGCCGTGAGAACGACCTTCCCCTCCGCCCAGAAAGGCCCAGATCGGAGTCCCTGCGCAGCCGGGGGTGGCGGTGAGCACCAACAGGCCTCTCCCTACCCCTCTGCATCCCCCCGCTTCTCCGGGCAGGGCGAGGGAGAGGCAAGATCGGGCAATTTAGGTAAATAACACCTACACGGCCCGAACGAGCGAGCCGGGAGCGCTGGGGGAGGGGACGGCCCCGGTCCCGCGAGGCCCTGCCCTTCCCTGCGCGGCCGGGACCGGCCCCGGCCCGGGCCGGGGGGGCAGCGGGGCGGCCCCTCCGCGGCCCCTGACCGCTCCCCCCGTGGGCTCGAAGCCCCTCTGCGGGCAGGACGCGGCGGGCCCTGCCCCTCCCCGCCGCGCCGGGCCCGCCCGCTCCCCGCGCTCGCCCCTCAGCGCCGTCGCGGCTCCGCTCTGCTGAGGGGCGGCCGCGGCCCCCCGGCCCCACACCGCGCCCGCGGCGGAGGATGGGGGGGGCGGGGAGGGGGAAGCACAGGAGGCGCGGAGGCGCCTTTTCCCCGCCGCCCCCTCCACCCGCCGCCGCCGCGGGGCCCCGCTCGGGCGCGGGAGTCGCCGGTACCTGGCGCGGCCGCCGCCGCCGCCGCCGCCGCCGCACACAGACAATATGGCGGAGGCACAAGGCTCGGCCGCCGCCGCAGGGACCAGAGCGAGGCGCGCCGGAAACGGAACCCAGCGCGGCCCCGCCACGCGCCGCGGGGGCGTGCGCAGAGGAGGGGGCGGGAGGAAGGAGGAGGAGGAGCGCGCCGCGGGGTGTGATGGGAGTTGTAGTCCGCGAGGTGGTGGGGGGTGTCCCGGCTCCGTGTCCTGGTGTGTCCCCGTGGGGCGCGGGGAGGCCGTGCGGGATGTGTCGGCCTCCCGCGGCACCGGCGGGGGGCCCAGCCGTGCGCGTTGGCGGCCCGGGCCCGGGCCCTCCGCGGGGCTGCGAGCGGGGGGGCCGCCGCCAGGGGGCGACTGCGGCCTGCGGAGCGGCCCCAGGATCGGGCCTACCATGGCCCTTTAACGGCCCTTCCATGGATCTTCCGTGGACCTTCCACGGCCCTTCCACGGCCTTGCCACTGGCCCTTTCCTCGCCCCCCTGGCCCTCAGGGTCGCTGCAAAGCGGTGGGATCGGACCCCGGTGTGCAGGAGCTATGCCGCAGTTGATGGAAGGGGCTCGTCCCTCTGCAATGTCCACTTTGCCACCAGCCAGGCTGAGCCCTGACCTCTTCCAGCCACCCCATGACCTTCCATCCTCGCCTTTCACCTTTTTAGCCCCAATTTCCTGCCATGCAGCCCAGGACATTAGTTTTTTCCCTCAAGGATTGGCCACAGCAGATGGCCCACCGATCTCTCTGGCGCAGGCTGAGCCAGGGGGGACCCCGTTGGGGGAGGAAGCACATCAGGGCTCAGCTTGACCCCTCAGCTGCTTCCTCTGAGCCTCCCTGGCTCATGGCACCCTCAGAACGGGGCTGGCTGGGGACACACAGCCCTGGGCTGGTCACTGCTATCCCACCACATCCAGGCTCTGGCTCGGAGCTGTGAGCCAGTCTGGAGGGGAGGGGGTTGTGCTGACCCCCACAGGCACCCCTGTACCCTTTCATATGGAAGCACGGCCAGGCTTCACCCCACTTCCCCCCCGGTGTGGGTGTCTCTCCCATGGGAGGCCGCTGGCCCAAACCTGGCAGCCCCTCACCCTGGGTCACTCCCATTAGGTAAAGGAGCAGCTCGTCCTGGCGGGGGTATCTCCCTCTCGCGCTTTCCTTGTATTGTACGGGCCTGGGTCATCGAGGAAATCTTACAGGTCCTTCTGCTGCCGAGTGGTCACGGGGGAAGCCCGGCCCCCTTCCCCCCATTGTCAGCGGCCGGGCCGTATCCTCGCTCCAAGCCCCGGCCCCTAAAAATAGCTCTTTGTCAGGCGATTGTTCCGACACCTTTGCAGCGGCATTGACGTGGGGCCGGAGCGGGAGAGCGGTGGGGTAGGTGGAGGGGAAGGGCTGGAGGCCCCCCCTGGGACCACTCCGAATATTTGCCGCTGATAACGGCCCCTGTTGTGGGGAAATGTGCTCCCGGTGCGCGGCCCGGAGGCCTTCCCGTGCCGCTGCTGCCAGCGGTCACCTCTCCCCCACCTGTCCCAGCCCTCCTGCCAGCCCTGCACCGCACCCACCATGGGGTCCCTACATGGGGGACGCCTCTGCCCAGGGTACACAGCCCTCCTAAGACCCCATTTCAGACCCCACAGGGTGGGGTCCAGCCCTGCAACCCCAAACTGGCCCCCTGGGGTGTCCCTGCCCTGCTCACCTCTGTGAGCTCACCCTGCTGCTGGAGGGTGGGGGGGCAGCCAGGATCCCCACCACATTTCAGAGGGGTTAAGCCCAGCCCTGCAGTGCTGTCCCTGCTCCAGGCACCCACAGGGGTCCTCTGCAGTGCAACCCTTTCCCCATCCCCACTGAGTTCCCCATCTGCACCAATGGTGCCTGTCTGGTGGAGTGTGGGCCCTGGTGTGAGGCCCTGGGGAGGTAGCACCCCTGCAGGGCTTGTGCTGGGGAAGACATCCATCCAGGGGACAGCCCCCTCCCTTGTCACCCCCTGCCAGCCACTGCCAGCTGGAGGTGACTGCCCCCCCTGCCCTGGGCCCTCTCCTGCTCAGCCACCACAGCTGCAGAAATAGGATTTTATTTCCCATGAAGAGATCTGGATTAAAATAACCTCCTGGCCCAGATCCCTTTTCTGGTGTGGCAGGAGATGTTTGCCTGCAGCTCTGCTGGGCACCCAAGCCGTGACCCTTCAGGCTGGTGTCCCCACGGTAGGGACATGCCTGTCCTCTGCCTGGCCCTCAGGGATGTGTCCCTCTCCCAGCTGTGCCTGGCCTCTCTGACTCCCAGGGCTGCTGGGCCTGCTCATCTGCTGTCCCCAGGCTGGGCTCAGCCCCCCGGGGCTGCTGGCCGTGGGGCAGGGCACGGGGCCAGCCCCGCTCTGATTACCCCCAGTGCTTTTTCCTTTTTTCTTCCTTAATTTACTGAGTGCTAAATCCAAATATTACAACTTCCCCTCCGCGCCGCTGGTTACGCAGGCGGCCCCGGCCGGGCATTGTCTTATTGTTTGCGGAGGGAAGCTCCAGCGGGAGATTAACCTGGCGTTCACCCCGCGCCACGGCCTCACACCCTGTCCCTGCTGCGGGGCCAGTGTCCCCAGGGACCGCGGCCGGCACGAGGTCCCGGCGGGGCGAGCGGCTCTGAGGGGTCCAGTGCATGGGGGAGGACGTGGCAGGGTGGTGGCAGCCCTGCAGCAGCGTCCCCTGCACCCCTGGCATGTGCAGGATCTCGGCTGTGTGTCCCTTGGGATGGTGAGGATCTGGCAGGTGTCTTGGGGGTCTCAGGCAGACCCTTTGCCCAGTTTCTTCCCCAGGGACCTTGGCAGGGTGCTGGCAGGGTTACTACGGTCTGCGTCTGCCAGCATGGGGGGGTGGGGACTGCCCAGCACCCCAGCCTGGTGGTCATCACAGTGAACTCTGGTCTGATCTGCCCATCCCATCCCATCCCGTCCCGTCCCATCCCATCTTCTCCCTCCCATCCCACCTCTGAGTGCCCATTCCTCCCCAGTCCTTCTCTCTACCCTGCCCTGGTCAGCAGAGCCTTGTCTCCCTGTTCCCCTCTCCCTACCCATTGCCATCTAGACCTTGGGGGTCCCTTCCCAGTCCTTTGGCCCCTGGTCCAACATGGGGGGTGATCTGTGGCAACCGGTCAATCTCTGTGGTCGGCACCACAGGGAGGATTCCCCTGGCAGCAAGTGGCTGAGCTTTACTGCAGGACACATTAGGGTCTTTATCCTGAGCTTGTGCTCTGGGGGGAGCCCAGTGAGGGCCAGGCAACCCAAAGGTATTGCCAAAGGACACGGCCTGAGGAGGGCTGGATCCTGGTGCCGGAATCTGCTTTTGTGTCTCCTATCCCTGGCTGGCTCCACTTCTTCAGCTGGCTCAGGCTCAGGCTCGGACATGACTTAACCCCACTGCAGCATCCTGGGGGTGGTGGGTGAGGAGAGCAGCACTGCCCACTGTCTGCAGGCTCTGCCCGACCCCTCTGCCCTCCATCCTCCCACACCCCATGGTCAGATGGATCCCCCCGGGTCCCTGTGTGGCCGCAGATCCCTTTCTACCAGCACTGGTGCCAGGGGCTAACAGGTCCTGGCCCCCCATCACTGGGGGGTGAGCCCCAGCCTGACCCCCTGCCCGTGACTCCAGCAGCTCCTGCCTGGCCAGACATGGCCTCATCCATCCCATCAGCTCAACAGCTCTCGGCACCCACGGGTGCAGCCCTGCTGCATTCCAGCCTGGCTGGCCAGCCTGCGGAAAGCCTGAAATATTTGGGAGGGGAATGGAGAAGGGAAAGGAGGAAAAAAAAATAATAAAATAAAAATCTATAAAAAGAAAGTTTAAAAACACAAGTTAAAGAAAAAAATACCAGGCGCGGAGTGCAGCTGCGGTTCTGGTTCCAGTTCCCAGGTGATGTCAGGCCTGGAGCCTCTCCAGCCCCGGCCCCTCAGAGACGGTCTTTGTGGGTTCAGCACTGAGTGTTTTTCCTTCCTGAGACTCGGGGACACCTTCCTGTCTCAGAGAAAGCAGCCAAGAGCCTTTCCAAGGGTGTCCGCACGCAGGAAGGGGAGAGGATGGGAGGGGAGCGAGAGGCAGCGCGGTTGGGCTCGGCGTGGGGCTGCGGCGGCCGCGGGCGATCGGTGGCCGTGGCCAGAGCGCTCACCCCACATGGGGCAAAGGGGCGCCCGGCTCCCACCAGCCCAGCAGGCTCCAGCGCCTCTGAGTCACCGTTTCCCTCTTGTGGTGCTGGGAGGGGCTGGAATGCACTGGGACCTGGGGGTTTGGCACTGGGGCACACTGGGACCTGTGGCCTCAGTGCTGAGACATGCTGGGATCTGTAGCCCCAGCACTGGGACGTGCTGGAATCCACAGCCCCAGCACTGGGAGTTACTGGGTGCGTAAATCCCATGCTCGGACATACTGGGACCCAGGGCTATCAGACTGGAACTTGCTGGGGCCCTAATCCCTGGCACTGGGTGTACTGGGATCCACATCCACCATACTGGGACATGCTGAATTCCACAGTCTCAGCACTGGGACATACTGGGATGTATGGCCTTTATACTGCAGCTTGCTAGGGCCCCAGTCCCTGGCACTGGGACATACTGGATGCACAGCTCCTGTGCTGGGACTCACTGAGACTCATGGTCTTCATACTGGAGCTTGCTGGGGCTCTAGTTGCTGGCACTGGAACACTGGTGCTCAGCCCTGGGAAACACAACCCAGCGGCTAGGACACACTGGGACCAGTGCACTCAGTGCTGGGACCTGCTGTGGCCCCAGCACTGGGACCACCAGCCCTTACTGGCCCCTCGGGGGGCTCTGGAGCCACCGCTTCATGAGGACGGTCCCCTTTCATGTGCAGGTTGGGCTGTTTGCAGAGCACACCCCCCCTGCTGCTCCTGCCCCCCGATAAACCCAGGGGCAGGGATTCTGTGTCCTGGGCTGTTTGGAGAATCTCACGGCTGTTTATTGGGGTCTGGGACACATTAGCCACGCTGAGAACAAACCTCTCCCACCCACCCCGGTCCCTGCCTGGGACCAGCTCTCACAGCTGCACTGCGCTGTCAGCTCCATAAATCAAACCCGGGGGAGGGAGCCCGGGGCAGGCTCACC